TGGAGAAAAAAAAATGTGAACAGTATGTTTTTAACAGTTGATCACCCTGAACTTTAAGTATAATTAAACTGAAAAACCAAAAAAAAAAAAATTGTATTTTAATTTTTTTTTTTAAATAAAGTAATAATAAAAAAATAATCGTTTTATTTCGATTACGTTGTTTTCGTAATCGTTGCAAGCCATAATCGTAATCGCGGTTAAAATACGATTAATTGAGCAGCCCTAATCTCAAGGTGCTTTCACCATGAATACTGATCAAACATCAACACGTGCCGTCAGAGGAAGAGAGGGTAATATATACTGTCACTTTTAGAATACACTATATTAGGACTATTAATCAAGCTTTTTGAACACAGATTTTATAATAGTAGGGTCATGCAAAGTGAGAGAGAGCAGGGTACATGTGTGGCGCGAGATGAGAGCGAGCGAGATGAGAGCGAGACGCGAGCGAGACGAGAACGAGATGAGAGCGAGCGAGACGAGAGCGAGCGAGACGAGAACGAGACGAGAACGAGACGAGAGCGAGCGTGACGAGAACGAGACGAGAGCGAGCGAGACCGAGACGAGAGCGAGACAGACGAGAGCGAGGCAGACGAGAGCGAGAGCGAGACGAGAGCGAGACGAGAGAGGCGAGCGAGACGAGAGCGAAACAGACGAGAGCGAGACAGACGAGAGCGAGATGAAAGCGAGACGAGAGCGAGCGAGCGAGCGAGACGAGAGCAAGACGCGAACGAGACGCGAGCGAGATGAGATGAGAGCGAGATGAGAGCTCGCTCTGAAAAACATTTCAGACTTTATCCGGCAACAAGGTATTATCGTTTCTTAAGTCTGATACTAAAACAAACGGGGTCTCCCCAGCACCTTGTTGGCGGGGGCCAGCTGCGTCCTCACAGACCCAGCGTGGAGCCGGCCGCTGTCCCCGAACCTCCCCGGAGACCTCTCTCTGCGGGGGTCCATCTCCCTGCGGGCGTCCAGCCCTCTGCCCGGGGACTTCTCCCGCTCCAGGGGGGGCCGGGCGGGGGATTTGTCCCTCCTGAACTCGGTCCTTCCCTCCCTGTACCGGTGGGGGGTGCTGGGCTCCCGGTGGAGGCCCTCATGGCTGCCGGGGCCCGAGACCAGGCGCTTGGAGATGTGCTCGGTGTAGGTGGGGGGGCCGCGCTTACTGGGGCTCCTGCAGGACACAAGGGGAGGAGACATCTGATCAAAGTCAAAGTCAACTTTATTATCAATCTTTCAGTTTGTGTGGACAGACAGAGATCCAAATACCGTTTCCCACAATCCTGAATACAATAACAAATATGTATAGAAATATGTATAATATATATATTTATAAAACGGACAAGTCAAATCAAGCAATCTGATTGGTTCTTAGCCGTGATATAATGAGCGCATATCACGGGTAGAATTGTAGTTACTTTTCACAACAAGTCAGTATCCCTCCGCGTCTGAGAAAAGCTACAACCGTTACAACTGTTACATTACGTCCGTTACGAAACTAACTAACTAACTAACTAACTAACTAACTAACTAACAAAGCTTAAGATGGAAACATGTGAGGGATAATGTGCAGCAAGGACTTAGTGACCGTTGTTAAGGACGCTCACATCTGCAGAAAGAAGTCCGGTCGATTTAACTGTATCCAGTTGGGCTGAAAAGCTTCGCGTCGGACCGAACCACGCCCCTTAGCTGTGATATAATGAGCATATACCACGGCCTGTCGCGAGCGGTCGCGTAAATATACACAATCAACAGACACATTTATACATATGCACACATTAAGACATACATAAAAGCACAACAATCAATATATACAAAATAACAGTCACTTCAATATCTTTGGGAAATGTGCATTAGTGCAAGACTGTCCGTAGCAGTCTGATCATGATGATAGAACACCTTCTGTCAGTAAGAAGGTGTTCTACTCTTTTAATGTGTTATTATGTGCCTTGTTGTTTCATGCTGCTGCTTCCCAAATGGGGATTAACAAAGTACATCTTATCTTTTCTTAAAACCTTCTGTGTGTAAGGGCGCCACAGTTTCTCCGCTGCGTTTGCCTTTCCAATATTTAACTCGGTATTGTTTCTGGTTATTTATCTCTAATGAATAACTCAACTCAACACCAGCAGAGGGCGCTGTCGGTCCATTCATTACAAACAAAAAGTCTCTTCCAACACTCAACACTAACAGAGTTCAGAGGTCACCTGTTGTTCTTTTGAAAGTGTTTTTCTGGCATTCAAGTGTTTTCATCCCACCCACACACTTTAATTACAATTCTGAATTGTTTCTCTCTTTGTTGTGGGTTCAGGAAGTTTCATCTAGTGTTAAATATTATAATATGTTCATGCACTCTATTAACTCTATTAAGCTCTTGCTCAAAATGTAGCTGTATTTATAAGTTAATGTGTTTAAAGCTTACTTTTCTGCATTTACTTGCACATTGGTCACTTTCTAAATTATTTTGCACTATCTTTATTTTTTGATGTCTTATTGTATATTATATGTTGCATTGTTGGTGGAGCATGGAACCTTACTTGTTGTTGCCAGAACGACCCTATAGCTACTGTGCATTTGAGAATAAAGCGTTGCAACATAGCTGGGCTTTAAAAGCTGTGTGACTTTAGTTAAGGATTCATACCAGCGCGTTTTCAAATAAAATACAAACTCAAGTGAAATGAAAGTTCTCTGACCCTCTGCTGGAGCCGGTCCTCTGCAGATCCCCGGACTCTCGGATCAGACTGCCCTTACAGCAGATGACCCGCAGCTTGTTCTGGTACGAGGAGGCCAGGTAGATGGCCCCCGAGGAGATAGCGGGGCCCAGGTAGCGCGGGTTAGGGACGTCCAGGTGAGCCAGGACTGTGGGACTGGAGGTGGAGACAGAGAGGTGAGTAGTAAAGAGGTGCAAGGAGGACGTATTTATGAATGAAGGTAGAACGTTTAGTTTCTACTTCCACAAAAAGACAATGGGATTTCTATATGTAAATTTCTCTCAACATTTATGATACTTACATGTTCAGTTCAGCAGGATAATATCTCCACATATTAACACCACTTTATGATTTCTGAAGTCAAAAGCTAATGTTGGGCTATAAAGGAACTACAGCACGGTCACATGACTTCACGTCACCACCGCTAAGCTAAAGGTGGCTAATGTTGGGCTATAAAGGAACTACAGCACGGTCACATGACTTCACGTCACCACCGCTAAGCTAAAGGTGGCTAATGTTGGGCTATAAAGGAACTACAGCACGGTCACATGACTTCACTTCACCACCGCTAAGCTAAAGGTGGCTAATGTTGGGCTATAAAGGAACTACAGCACGGTCACATGACTTCACGTCACCACCGCTAA